AAGTAAACAAAAATCTCAAAATTGATTTTTAACGTAAATCATAGCTAAAAAAAATTCACCGGCTTCTTTAAAAAAACCAAACAACAACAAATTTGCAAATTAAAAAACAATTCTTGCACTCTTATTAAGTACTCTCTCTATTTTTTTGTTATAAGTATTTTTTTATTGTTGGACCCATTTTTACTAAAAAATCAAATTACGGCCTAACAGCCTTACAAATTTACCCATTGCAAATTTTCTTTAACCAGAAAAAAATATTTTGGAATTTATATGGCCCCCTTTTTTATATATTTTTTTTAGCAATTTGTTTTTTTTTCTAATACAATTTTTCACATTGTACGCTCAATTAATTAATTTTGTTTTTGAAAAAAAAAATAAGAAAATCACATTTTTTATAGAAATTGTTACAGGTGGTGGTAAAATTTTAGAATTTGAGTTGTGTTACGTTTTTACGTTTGTTTTTTGGGTTTTCGTTAATTTTTAGAATTTTTTTAACGCACCAATTTTTAGTAAAACAAAAAATATTCACCTTGAAAGTGAGAACCGAAAAGCTCATTTAGCACTATAATATTTTTTTGAAAAACAAATTCGAAATAAAAGCTTCATTTGTTTTGTATGCACCTTAGTTTTTTTGTTGCCTTAACGAAATCGCATTTATAATAAAAATTACCGATTTTATTTCCTCATTTAGAATATAGGATATGCATCTCAATTCAAATTGAACTGACGTCATTACAAAATGAATTACAAATGCGTAGATCACATCACCCTATGGATATCATCATTTTTTTCCACAAAATTAAAAAAAATCACGTCGCTCCTAACCTCAAAAATCACATCGCTCCTAACTATGATGTCATATCTGAATATTAAAGTTTATTGTATGCTCTCAAGTTCATAAAAACGATGTTTTAGGCAAACGTTCATTAAATATATTCGATTGTTCATAACATTCATGAATTTTTCCTAAAATTTATGAACAAAATAGCTAATCCACGATTTTTAATGATAGGTTTTAAAATATCAAATTGTTCTAAAAATAAAGAAACTATCCCTAAAACAAGACTAGTTCCCAAATATATGCTCTATTGTTAGTATTTTGTTCCTAAATAGTTATGAAACTTTTCCTAATGTTCTTGCCTATCTACAGCTATGCTTTCTTCAATTTTTCAGTTTGCAATTAAATGAAGACTTGCCTTGGGCAACAAATATTTAAGGATTTCTTCTTCAGTTCCTTCATTACATCATGCTGATCATCCGATTTAAATGGAATAAAACTGAATAACTGCTTTCTGTGGTACCGGAAGTCTAAACTCCATACTTAAAAGTCCGCATTCTATACAATTAGATGAACAAGTTTAAATATTGGAGTACCTATTCTAGGCTAAGAATTATTTTTGTAATGTTAATTTTGTCCTTCGGGAAGGATACGGACCAGCGAACTATGGACCTAGAGCCTAAATCAAAATACATCTATTCTTCAGTGGATTTTTTTTAGTTCCCTCATCCGTGGGTACCTCCAACACAATTTTCTTTTTTTCTGTTAACTCGTCATTTTGGTCCTTCGAGTCGGATAATAAACCAACGATCTTTGGATGTACAATCCAAATCAAATGACATTTTTGCCCAATCTTCATTTGATATTTTCTTGATCTGGCACATAATTTCTGCATCGCCAAGCGGTAAGACTTTTTCTTGTCCTCGATTTTCTCATTCAGATTAAGCCTTGAAACTGGTTTAATCTGATTCTTAATTCTCCATTCTTTATTTTTCATATGCAAATCAAATTCCCTGCAAAATGAGGTTGTTATGGTCGCACCAAATATTGTTATGGTCGCACCAAATATTAGTATATGCTGAAGATCCGATATAAATCAGCTTTCCATAATTTGGCTTTAATGCTTCCAAATTGAAATTCAATTCCGCCTTCAACATCATTTATGAACATGCGTTTTAATTTGAAGAACATATTTTCTATTTTTTAAAATCTATATATCTGATTTCTCTGGAGACAAATGCCTGAGGTCCATATACTACATATTTATTACGGGGATATTTCGTGAAATATTGAACAGGTTTGAAAATTAAAAAAGAATCTAAAACCCACAACTGCAACTCTTCAATGTACTTAGATGCTAAGGTCTGCTGTGCCTGTCCTAGCTGATTGGTCTGCCATCTATCGTTGCATAGAAACAACGCCTCCTCGAATCTTGCACAATGGTTGCGATCCCTGCCAATTTAGTGTTACTATTTTCCACTGGATGGCACTCTATCCTTTTATTCTTGCTTTATAGTACGTTTACATTGTACCGGATTTAGCTAACCCAGTGGATTTCAATTGTCAATTCCATTGTCTATTTGTCAAATAAATCCTCATAAAGTAGTTTAAATCTGAAAAAGTTCTAATGTAAATGCCGTTTGATTTAGTCTTGTTATTTTCCTCCAGGTGGTGCTATGTGCTGCCATTCCTATTTTATATTATTTTCATGAGCTGATGTTAATATCGAGGTTGAATGTAAGAATAATTTTTCAAATATTCTAAAACGATATTTAGAAATCTTTCCTTCTTCGTTGGAATTCGTTTTTATAGTCAGGCTTACTATTCACTGCACTACACCACACGCACGGGCATAACCTTGCCTGCAGGTTTGATAGTTAACAAAATAATATAAAACCCAAACTACAGCTCTTCAAAATACTTTGATGCTAAGGTCTGTTGTGTCTCCCCTTAGCTGATGGCTACTGACCTCTATCGTTGCATAGAAACAACGGTTTCTTGAATTTTATGCTGTGGTTGCGATCCCTGCTTATTTAGTGTTGCTATTTTCCTCTGGGCGGCGCTATTTCCATCCATTCTTACTAAATCAGACTTCATGTTGTGTAAAAAGAGGGAGAAGTTCCGCTGTTGCTGAGTCGATTGAAAATCTTAACCGCATTTTCTGCAAAATTGAGCAAATGAACGATTTGTTGTTGCTGATGCCGATGTAGGTTATAGGAATATCGGGAGGCTTCGAATGCATTTCATCTGCTTTTAACAAATATTAGAAATTTAACTTAGAAATTTTCAAATGCTTGTTGTTTGTTTTATAAGGTTATATTATTAGAACAAACAGTTTAATGATACAAGTATTGTGTGAGTTTAGGCTAGAGCGTCAGATTAGTTTCAGTAGTTCTTAAGGAAAAATGTTTTACAATAAAATCAAAATTGATTGTCTATATTCGTGCTGTGACATTAATTCGTATTTTGTGAAGGCATCTATTTAATAGCTCCGATAGTTGTTTTTTAAAAAAAAACTTTTTTAGAAAATTCTAGTTCATATTGATTCAATCGTCCATTTAAATCATTCGTTCACTAACTGAATAAACTGTCGTAAATCAATGAACTGGAACAAAATGAATGGCCTAGTTCCATTTGCGGAGCAAACCGAAAAAGATAGAACCGCTTCAGAAAATTCATTTCATTATTCTGTATTGAATAATAATTTAGAGTTGTATTTTTGTTATTTTTTATAATTCATAATTCCCATCTCTGATAGAAGTTCCATATCAAATGAAATCATTACCGTTTAGAATTTCAAATTTCCGTAAATGTCATCATTTGTCATTCATATGTAGTTTCATATAATTCACAATAACTCATTCAAAATGTAATATCAGGATTTAAATTTTACCACACTGTCAGTCACATAAAATACTACACATTTTACAAAATTAATAATTGAATTGCGTACACTGAGAAAAATTGTTAGAAAACAATAAAGTTAAACTCAGAATAACCCTCTAATTGTCAAAAACAAACAGATTTGGGACGTTCCGAAACGATCTAGTTCGAGAGAACTATTCCGTAAAATTTTTTCTCTAGTCGTTTCTTTGTCCTTTCGTTTACCTTAGTTCCTTTTTATGCAATTGTTCAGCCAGATCACTCATTCATTCACTGAATTAATTAAAGTAAAAAAATGAACGATTAATCAAAAAGGAACTATGGAACTAGTTCGAACTAGATCGAAACGCTTCAGGATTGCCCTACTCTACAAACAAATTAACCCCAACGACGTTCTTGCCTTGTAATTATTCGTCAGACCCATGGCACAATGATTAGGTAGTCCATTTAGCGCAGCTGATGTTCGATTAACTGTTATGCGATAACTGTTGCGTTATTTCTACTTGAATTCAATGTGCAGTGTTGCCAACCATGTGAAATATTATAAGCAAAAAATTTGAAAGGTGGACGAGACAAAAACAAAGGTTTTTGTTTTGATACATATTTTTTAGATTTCTTATATTTTTTAATTTTTTTCAGGTTTAATTTTTATAGAAAAGACAAAACGATACTTGAAAACTTAAAAATCATGCAATGAAATTAAATACAAGACGTACACATAAAATACACTTCGAGAAATCAGTTGTTGAAAACATACAGTCAGTCATTGAAAATACTACTCTAAACAAAACTTTTTGGTTCTCACTGTAAAAAATAAATGTACATTTTGTAATTCTTCTTTATTTTGAGTTCTGTTGGGGATTTCTTGTAGAAAAAAAAATACTTTGAATATTTTGTAAATTTCAAAATTATTTTTCTATTTTTTCAGCTTGAGAAATAAAATTTAGAGGTGATGGTTTTTTGTAACTAACATTGTATAAATTGGTGTAAATTTGTTTATTAATTCTATTTTTGTTTTATAAAATATCTATAGCCTTCATAAAGTGTCATTTTGTTTTTTTTTTATTGTCTGCTTTAATAATTAAATTTTATTATTTTTTTTATAAATTTATTATAAAATATTTATTTATAATAATTTTTAACACTGCCTGTTTTTTTCTAATCGCTTCCTTTTGTTTTTTCTCTCTTAATCTCATTTTTTTCTCTATATTTTATCCCTGATTTTTATGCTGCTACTATTTTTGTCTAACATCTAAAAAAATCTACTAAATTTCCAACAACAACTATTTGCAAAAAAAAAAAACAAAATTTATTTTTAATTGAAAAAATAAATAATCAGACTTAATTCGAATAGTAACAGGAATCGTGGTAGCTCAACAAGTTACAATCAAGGAGATGTTGCATCGGCACCGGTGACCAGCAATCGTGGAACGCATCCACCGTAAGTATAATAAAAAAAAAAAACAAAAATAAGTAATAGAAAAAATTAAGAAAAATTCTGTAGAAAAAAATAAAAAATACCTCGGAGAATTGAGGTCGATTTTTTTCTATAGAAAAATAACTCATAAAACTAAGAGTTGCGGGTTTTTTCTAGAGCAAAAAATTGACTGAATGAGGAACTGAGACCTTCAGAAATTTCTATTAAAAAAATTGCCTCAGTGAGGAACTGATGTCTTCAGAAAACTGAGAGTTGCGGATTTCTAGAGCAAAAAATTGACTGAGTGAGGAAATGAGATCTTCAGCATTTTCTATAAAAAAAAAAATCCTCAGTAAAGAACTGATGTCTTCCGAGTTTTTCTGTTGAAAAAATGTCTCTGTGAGGCACTGAGGTCTTCCGAATTTTTTCTCAGTGTGGAACTGAGGCCTTCCAATTTCTTTCTCAGTGTGGAACTGAGGCATTCCAAATTTGTTCTACTGAAAAAATGTCTCAGTGAGGAACTAAGGTCTTCCGATTTTTTTCTATAGAAAAAATAATTCGATTTGTTTATTCTTTAGAAAAAAATCTTATATCAATTCTCTGGGGTATTTTTATTTTTGGCTATAAAAAAAATCCAAGGTATTTTTCTAAAGAAAAAATCCGACCTAATTTCTCAGAGTTATTTTTTGCTATAGGCAAAAATGAGGTATTTTTTGCTTAAAAACAAAAATCCGACCTCAATTTCCATAGGTATTTTTGCTATAGAAAAAAATACGTCCTCAGTCCTCTTTTTTTGGCTATAGAAAAAATCAGACTCTAGTTCTCCGTGATATTTTTTCTGGAGAAAAAATCCGACCTTAAATCTCAGAGGTATTTTTTGCTCAAAAACAAAAATCTGACCTCAGTTCTCTCTTCCCTGAGGTATTTTTTGCTACAGAAAGAAAATCCAACCTCAGTTCCGAAATGTATTTTTTGCTTGAAAATAAAAATCCGACCTCAATTTTCATAGGTATTTTTACTTTAAAAAAAATACGTCCTGGCTATAGAAAAAATCCGACCTCTGTTTTTGAGGTATTTTTTACAAAAGAAAAAAATCCGACCTCCGTTCTCCGAGGTATTTTTTCTAAAGAAGAAATCCGACCTCAGCTTTCTGAGGTATTTTTTTGCTATAGAAAAAAAGCCGACCTCTGTTGCCTGAGGTATTTTTGCTATAAAAAATCCGACCTCAGTTCTTTGAGGATTTTTTTTCTAAAAAAAATCAGACCTCAATTCTCAGAGGCATTTTTTGCTTGAAAACAAAAATCCGACCTCTGTTTTCTGAAGCATTTTTTTATAGAAAGAAATCCCACCTCATTTTTTTATGTATTTTTTTAAGGAAAAAATCCGATCTAAATTTTCTCAAACATTTCTTCTATAGAAAATAGAAAGATTCTAATATCTGTTCCTTTATTTTCCTTTAGCCGCACCCGTCCCACCTTGAAACCTTCTGGAACAATTGTCAGCAAGGCCCAAGAGTTCATTGATATCTACAAGAATCCTCCATCTCGACCCGAGCCCTTGTATCCCCAACCCACTCCCGACAAGACAGCTGCCAAATGCCGCAAGGATGTTTGCCTCTTGCCCGATTGTTATTGTGGTGGTAAAGATATACCCGGTAAGTAGATAAATTTCTAAAATTATTTTTTCGAAAAAAAAATTTAAAATTTTCAAAAAAATTAAATATTTTTAAATTAAAAAAAATAAAAATTATAAAAAATAAATTCTCCACAAATATAAAAATTAGGAGACTTAAATGTTGAAGAAGTTCCACAAATAGTTCTGATCACCTTCGATGATGCCATTAGCATGCTAAACATAGAACTCTATGAGGAGCTTTTCAATAATGAGACGCGTAAAAATCCCAATGGTTGTCCCATTCGGGCGACATTTTATGTGTCGCATGAATGGACCGATTATGGTATGGTCCAGGATTTGTATGCTGATGGCCATGAAATGGCTTCACATACTGTGTCGTAAGTTTTACCATCTGAGATTTAGAGGTTTTGGATGATGAATCTGAAAAAAACGCCTTCATCATGTGATCATGTCTCTCATGCCGACTCCCCTTATTTGTGTTTTTGGGTTCTTTGCAATATATATTTTTTTAATATAAATATTTTTATGTTCCGCTTCTTTTTGCTTTATTTTAATTTGTTTTCGAATTTTTTACTTTATTTTCATGTGCCCTTTCATTCAAAATTTTATAAACAAAATCAATGCTGTTTTCAATTTAAACCATTAAAAAAAACATTTACCATTATTCATCATTGCCCACCCCTTCGACTCTATTGTACAAAAATATCCCCACCTGGCCCCCACCCTCGAACCTTGACTGAAAAAATAGGTGATCTACCTGTGGAAAGTGTCCCCCAAATTGTATTGATTACCTTCGATGATTCCGTTAATGATCTGAACAAACAATTGTATATTGACCTATTCGAAAAGGGCCGTGTTAATCCCAACGGTTGTCCCATCACGGCCACTTTCTATGTCTCTCACGAATGGACCGATTACAGTCAAGTTCAAAATTTGTATGCCGATGGCCATGAAATGGCTTCGCATACGGTCTCGTAAGTATTTTTTTGTCATTCCAAATCGTAGTGAGAAGTAATAACAACAACACCACTGTAGTTAGAAACAACAACAACAGAGAGCACGAAGTATGTAGACATAACAAACACCAACAAAATACAACAACAAATTACAAAAATAATAAAACGTAGAAAAAAATCCTACATCAGTTCCACCTGAGGTATTTTTTTCTATAGAAAATATCCGACCTCAGTTCCACCTGAGGTATTTTTTCTGTAGAAAAAAATCGACCTCTGTTCCAGCTGACGTATTTTTTCTATAGAAAAAAATCCCAGTTCAGTTTCAGCTGACGTATTTTTTTCTATAGAAAAAAATTCGACTTCAGTTCCAGCAGAGAGTTCTCTGAGTCATTTTTTTCTATAGAAAAAAATCCGACATCAGTTCTCTGAGCGATTTTTTTCTATAAAAAAAAATCCGACCTCAGTTCCGTGAGCTATTTTTTTATAGAAAAAAATCCGACCTCAGTTCTCTGAGGTTATTTTTTTCTATAGAAAAAAATCCGACCTCAGTTCTCTGAGGTTATTTCTTTCTATAGAAAAAAATCCGACCTCAGTTTTCTGAGCGATTTTTTTCTATAGAAAAAAATCCGACCTCAGTTCTCTGAGCGATTTTTTTCTATAGAAAAAAATCCGACCTCAGTTCTCTGAGCAATTTTTTTCTATAGAAAAAAATCCGACCTCAGTTTTCAGAGGTGATTTTTTTTCTATAGAAAAAAAATCCGACCTCAGTTTTCAGAGGTGATTTTTTTTCTGTAGAAAAAATCCGTCCTCAGTTTTCTGTAGAAAAAATCCGAACTCAGTTACAGCTGATGTATTTTTTTCTATAGAAAAAAATCGGACCTCAGTTGACCTCTAATCCGAAATCGACAAAATAAAACTATGTCTCCGACACCCTTAGTAAAGAATCTATACCCTAACCCCTATAAAACTGTAAAATAATATTAGAAAAATACCTCGAACACACCTCTACAACCCCACACACACTGTATATAACACACACACTCCTTTGCACCCTACAAAAAAACTCCAGCGCACATTTCACAAAATAATTGCATAATTTAAACTAACCCGTAACACCGATAAACCCCTTATGAAGACCACCCATATTAATTCCGAACTTTTTTGTACCCAAAAAAAAAAAAAACAACAGTCACAGTTTTGGTGAACAATTCTCCCAAAAGAAATGGACCCGTGAAGTAGCTGGCCAGCGTGAAATACTCGCCGCATATGGTGGTGTCAAACTGTCCGATGTTCGTGGTATGCGTGCTCCCTTCTTGTCCGTTGGTGGCAATAAGATGTTCAAAATGTTATACGATTCGAATTTCACCTACGATTCATCGATGCCTGTCTATGAAAATCGTCCACCATCTTGGCCCTACACTTTGGATTATAAGATTTTCCACGATTGTATGATTCCACCTTGCCCCACAAAGAGTTACCCCGGAGTGTGGCAAGTGCCTATGGTAATGTGGCAAGATTTGAATGGTGGACGTTGTTCGATGGGTGACGCCTGCTCCAATCCATCTGATGCTGAGGGTGTAACCAAAATGATCATGAAGAATTTCGATAGACATTACACAACCAACAGGTGAGTGATAAGGACCCTGTGAGGATTTCGGAATGGAAATAATAACTATTTTATTTTATTTGCAGAGCTCCCTTCGGTCTCTTCTATCATGCTGCCTGGTTCACACAGCCTCATCATAAAGAAGGTTTCATCAAATTCTTGGATACGATTAATGCCATGCCTGATGTATGGATTGTTACCAACTGGCAGGCACTGCAATGGGTCAGAGATCCCACCCCATTGTCGAGAATTAATTCATTCCAGCCATTCCAATGTGATTATTCGGTGAGTTTTTATATAGCTATACGATATTAAAGAAATCGTATTAGACCTCCACGTCTTATTGGATATTAAAAAATATTCTTATTGGACCTTTATAAAAAATATTCTTATTACACCATTAAAACTTTTTCTATTATAACTACACGCCTTATTGGACTTAAAAAAATATTCCTATTAGATCTTTAAAAATATTTCTAACTAGATCTTTAAACATGTTTCTTATTAGACCATTAAAAATATTATACTTCTTACGCCTTATTGGTCATTTAACAAATATTCTTATTGGACCTAAAAAATGTTCTTATTCTTATTATTCAAAATATTCTTGAAATACTTTAAAAAAAAATTATACATCATTCTTTAATAAATCCACGCCTTATTAAAATTTTCAAAAAAATCTTATAAGACCTTTACAAAATATTCTTTATAAACCCACGCCTAATTGGATATTTCAAAAAATTTCTATTAGACTTTATAAAATATTTTTTAATAAATCTTATTAGGAGTTTAGAAAATATTCTTATTAGAATTTTTTTTAAATATTCTGTAACAAATCCACACCTAATTGGATATTTCAAAAAATTCCTATTAGACTTTAAAAGATATTCTTTCTTCTTCTTCTTTATAAATCCACACCTAATTGGATATTTCAACAAATTCCTATTAGACTTTAAAACATATTCTTTAATAAATCTTATTAAAATTTTAGAATATATTCTTTAATAAATCTTATTAGAATTGTAGAAAATATTCCTTAATAAATCCCCGCCTAATTGGACATTTCAAAAAATTCCTATTAGACTTTAAAAAATATTCTTTAATAAATCTTATTAGAATTTTAGAAAATATTCTTTAATAAATCTTATTCGAATTTTAGAAAATATTCTTTAATAAATCTTATTCGAATTTTAGAAAACATTTTTTAAAAAATCCACGCCTAATTTGATTTGTATAAATATTCTCATTGGTCCTTTAAAAAATATTCTCTTTGGAATTTTAAAAATATTTTTATTTTCCCTTGAAAAATATTTAAATCTACGCCTATTTGGACTTTTAAAAATAATTTTATTGAACCTTTAAAAACTGTACTTTAATAAATCTACGTCCAAATTTGACTTTTAAAAATATTCTTATTGGATCATTAAAAAATATATTAGACAATTGAACATATTCTTTTCAGACCTTTAAAATGTATTCTTTAATAATTGTACACATAATTTGGTTTTAAAAACTATTCTTATTGGGCCTTTTAAAAAATCTTCCTTTTAAAAATGTTCTTATTAGGCATATATAGAAAATATTCTCCGTTTAAAAAAATATTCTTTAATAAAAATGAAAGACTTCCTTTTAAAAATGTTCTTATTGGGCCTTTATAGAAAATATTCTCCGTCAAAAAAACATGCTTTAATGAATCTACGCCTAATTGGATTTTGAAAAATACTCTTATTGGGTATTTAAAAACAAATCTTCCTTTTGAAAATGTTCTTATTGGGCCTTAATAGAAAATATTCTCTATTTGAAAAATATTCTTAAATAAATCCACCCTTATTGGACAATTTAAAATATTCTTATTATACTTTAAATATATTCTTTAACAAATCTGCGCCTAATTTGATTTTGAAAAAAATCTTCCTTTTAAAAATGTTCTTATTGGGCCTTAATAGAAAATATAATTCGTTTAAAAAATATTCTTTAATAAATCCACGCCTTATTGGACAATTGAAAATATTATTATTAGACTTTAAAAATATTCTTTAATAAATCCACGCCTTATTGGAAATTGAAAATATTTTTATTAGACTTTAACAATATTCTTTAATAAATCCACGCCTCAGTTGGCCCTTGAAAAATATTCTTTAATAAATCCACCCCACAGTTGGCCCTTGAAAAATATTCTTTAATAAATCCACGCCTCAGTTGGCCCTTCAAAAATATTCTTTAATAAATCCACGCCTCAGTTGGCCCATGAACAATATTCTTTAATAAATCCACGCCTCAGTTGGCCCTTGAAAAATATTCTTTAATAAATCCACGCCTCAGTTGGCCCACTAAAAAATATTCTTATAAGACTTTAAAAAATATTCTTTAATAAATCCTCGCCTTATTGAACCATTAAAAATATCCTTATAAGACTTTAAAAAATATTCTTTAATAAATCAAGACTAATTGGGCATGGTAATATTTTCTTACAAGACTTAAAAAAAAATCAACACTAATTGGACCTGAAAACATATTCTTTATTAACCCACGCCTTATTTTTCACTCCCAATTGGATAGCAAAAATATTCTTATTAGACCTTTTAAAGATATTTAAAAAAAATCCACCCCTTATTGAGACTATACAAATATTCTAATTAGGCCGTTACAATATTCTTATCAGAACTTATATAGACTTTTATATAATATTCTTATTAACCATAATTTATTAGACCTCTGTTGGTCCTTGAAAAAGTATTCATTATTAAATATCCGCCCATTTCGGCCCATACAAATCCAACCCCTTTTTTAAATCAATTTCTAATTTCCTTTGTTTTCCTTTGCTCTCTTTCAGGATCGTCCCAAGCGTTGTAATAACCCCAAAGTCTGCAATCTCTGGCACAAATCTGGTGTACGTTACATGAAGACATGTCAGCCATGTCCTGACATTTATCCATGGACTGGTAAAACTGGCATAAGATCGTCGCGCATTGACAACGATATTGAAGATTCGACAGCGTAATTTTTTTGTCATAAATTTTGCTAGGATTAACAAAATCGATACAAAACACAACCTTCAAAATTAACAACAACAAAAGGCACAAACAACAACAGCAATCAAGGACGAAATTAAAATAACAAAACATATTCACTCGTTTTCGCACGAAGCAAATCAACAACAACAACATTACACCATGCCCCCCTTTTCATCAACAACACATTGATGCATCCTTATAAATAATACTCTCATGCCCTCCACACTCCAAACAACAAAATTCCACTTGGCTCCTTTATTCATTAAACAAAAAAAATAATTAATATATAAGAAAAAAAACCCAACAACAACAAAAGAACTTTAGTTAAGAAATTTTTCGTTAGTAAAATTTTCATTGTAACTAAAAAGAAATTGTTTAAGTGATTTTATTGGCATAATTTTGAAAAAGAAATTCATTACTTAATTTTTAAAAATATTTTTTGTTTGTTAATTTAATTTATTATTATGTTTTTTGTTTCTTTGTTTTTTGGAATTATATAGAAAAAAGAAAAATATTTTAATTCGGTCGAAAAAAAAATTGTATATGAAAATTAAAAATTATTTATTCAAAATTTTTTGTTATATTTTTTAAATAGTAATAATTTTTACAAATAAAACAAAAAACAACAACAACAAACATCATAAAAAAACCTGTAGCATGTAAAATATATATATTTTTTTAGTTTTAAAAACAAATTCAAATAACTAATTTTTGTTTTGTGTGTGTTTCTTTAACCCATTTTGAGCTTAAAGAAATCAACAAAATGGACAAAACAAAATATGGCCACATTTAAGCGCAATATTAGTATTAAAATAAAATCAATTTAAATACAATATTTTTTTTTAAATTTGTTTTTAAACATTTACACATATACACGCATACACATACACCCACATCTACTCACCATTTAATTAGCAACAAATAAATATTAGACAAAATTCAAAAAGCAAATTCATATTCCTAAAAACAAAAACGTTGTAAAATATTGAATTTAATTGTATTCTAATTATATTTTGAGTGTATTATAATTATGTGTATTATTAAGGAAAATTTTAAATGATAATAATGATATAAAAATGATTTAAAATAAATAAAAACATAAAATAATTATTGTAGTGTATTATTAAGTTGTCATAAAAACATAGTATAACATATGTGATAAAACACTATAAGAGAAAAACAATAACAAATTTGTTGGATATAACTAGAAATTAAACAGCAACTAATAATCTTGATATATCTAGAAGAATATTGTTACCAAATTCCCTGTCCATCCTTTCCAATACCATAAACCTCTTGGGCATACCATTTTCTATTGATCCTAGAAAGAAATTCAATTTATTATACCGTTTGGAGATTTTTTACAAATATCCCGGGGTGAAAATGGTTACTTAATAAAAAACTTAAGGTTTGAGGTTTTGAGATTACGATAAAAATAAAAAAATCGGAAAAATCCATCTATATATGGGTTGTAGCTCCGATTTTGGTAGGCCTCATAAATGAGTAACCACAATTTTTCGATATTTTGTGAATTTAGGCCACGTTTTCCCAACGGAATCGACTATAGTGGCGTGCTAAATCTTACCAACTTAAAATTAGAATGGCATAGCCCTCGTATAAAATTCCCGATCGATTTTAGGTATTTATAATGTCCAACTAATGACAGAGGGTATAAAAAATTCGTTTAGGCCAAATTTACCGATATTTTCATTATAAAATGTCTCTCATCGTTTCCGACAATTAGGAGTCGATTTATAAATACCCGCCTGTGCACTATAACTCTCAGAGGGGGTAACCGATTTCATCCAAACTTTGCAGTTCGTATTATTATTATTTTTTTTTTTCAAATTGAAACCAAATTCAAATATGGGATATATCAATCCGCTCCTCCTGCACCTACCATACAAAATGGTCAAAATGTTGCTGAAAATTTGTTTTGAACCAAACTTTTCACAACCTATATTTTGACCAAGCCTGTGTATTGTTGAAATACATATCGGTTCATCCCTCTCACATTTTTAATTTTTATAAATCCAATATTAAGCAAATGGAATGTCCGATTTGATCCACATCGTAATAGTTCTAACAAACCTAGTCCGAAGATGGAACACATCGGTCCACTCCTTCAGGTACCTCCGAAATGTACTTCCTATTCGGTTCTACTCGCCTTTTACCTACAAATGATAAACAACACAAAATTATTTCAGAATGCCAGCTCTATCGGTTCACTCAAAATTCAAATTGTACTAAATTTAGTACCAATTTTATGCGTACTAATAAGTACGAATTTCTTAAAAAACTTCTTATTTCGCAATTTCAGGGGCTCACCCAAATCCAAATTGTAACAAATTTAGTACCTTTTAGTTCACATTAGTATAAATGTTCTAAACATCCGTCATATCCCATTCTTACACTCCAACATAATCCTAATTCCAAATTTAAGAATTCCAGATCTAATTAATTCCAAATGTCACTATTCCAGCCCTATCGGTTCACCCAAAATGTAAGTTGTACCAAATTTAGTACAATTCAGTACACATAAGTACGAATTCACAAAACTACCTACATGCCTCAATTCTACACTCCAACAGTAATCTTAATTTCAAATTGTTACTATTCAAACTCTAAATGCAAATTGTATCAAATTTAGTACCAAATTTAAGGATTCTACCTCTATCGGTTTACCTACATCCAAATTTAGTACACATAAGAACAAATTTCCATTACTACCTGCATACCTCAATTCTACAATGCATTAGTAACCTTATATCTATATTTCCAAAATTTAATGTGTATCAAATATATTACTGTTTAGTACTTTTCGTATAAATAAGTAAAACATTTCCAAAACTGCCTACATATTCCAATCCTACACATCAACAGTAATGTTAATTTAACATTTCAGGATATCAGCTCTATTCGATGCTTCAAATTCAAATTGCACCAAATTTAGTACCGTTTAGTACTTTTCGTATACATGAGTACACACTTCCAAAACCACCTCCTTATATTGACCCTACTTCTCAACGTTGATTTACATTACAAATTTCAAGTTTTAACTGTACGAAATTGTAGCAAATTTAGTACATTTGAGTACTACAAAACTGTACTAATCATATATCCAAATTTCAGTGTTCCCGCTCTATAGGTTCACCTAACCAAAATTGTACCAAATACAATACAATTTAGTACATTTTCCAAAAATGCCTACATATCCCAATCCTATACTCCGACAATAATGTTAATTTCACATTTCAATTCAAATTACACGAAATTTAGTACTGTTTAGAACTTTCCGTATACTTAAGTACATTATTCAATAACCACCTCCTTATGTCGATCCTACTTCTCAACATTGATTTGCATTACAAATTTCTAGTTTTTAGCTCCATCCGTACAAAATAGTACCAAATTTAGTACATTTGAGTACCTTCCGCATAATTTTCCTAATCCGCTAATTTCTGCACACTTCGAAAAAAACTGTAGTAATCTGATAACAAAATTTCAGTGTTCCAGTGTCCCTAAATACAAATTGTACCATTTGGTACTTTTCGTACAAATTTCGAAAACTACCTATATATATCCCCATCCTAATGTTAAATACAAATTTCAGATTTTTGAGCGGTCATATAAAGGTACCCCCAAAATGTCGGTTCTTTGAGGGTTTTGACAGCGTTTTTCAACCGAATTCGCTGTAATTTAGCATATTGTGTTCTTATTGGATACTAAATCTCCGCACTAAACATTATCAACAACGGTCCTCTTTTTTGGGTAGCCTCCATATAAATTGACCCCCAACATTTGCGGATCTTAAGGATTTTGGACAAGTTTTTCAATCTATTGCCTACAATTTGACGTGTTCGATTCTTATTGGGTACCAAAGTTTTCCGCCAAAAGTTATCAATATTGGTCCTATTTTTCGGGTAGCTCCCATATAACGGTACCGCCGAATATCTGTATTTTGAGGTTTTTGAGCGCGTTTTAAACCGAATTTGCTGTAATTTGGTACTTTCGGTTCTTATTGTGTACTAAATCTCTACACTAAAAAATATAAATATAAGTCCCCCTTATAACGGCACCCACAAATTTTCGGTATTTTTAGGGTTTTTAGCACGTTTTCAATCGATGTAATTTGGTATCGTCGGTTGTTATAGGGTACTAAATCTCTACACTAAAAAATTATAAATATTGGTCCATTTTTTTGGTAGTCCATATGGGCGTATTCCACCGTTTTTAGGGGGAAATTTTCAGATCATACCCTATAAAATATGGAATTCAAAGACGACGTATCCATCTGTACCTTCGGAGGATATCGAGATAAATAACTCGAAACGGATGATAATGAAATATATCAGGCCTCACTTAGGCCCAGCACCCATATAATAATACCTACCGATTTTCGGTATTTTTAATATTTAGTTTGAAGAAAGGTATTGTGTTACAAAACTAAAATATTAGTTTAGAAATTGAGTCATATCGGTCTTATAATGATAACCGCAACTATTCCCTAATTCCTCAACGACGTAATCTTGCCTTGTGTAACTTTCCCCTCTAAATTTCAGTATTTTGAGGATTTTATACACCCTACCATGCGTTATCGGTCCACGTTTTGGGGTTTAAGATTTTAGGAAAAATCCCCATTAAAAATCGTTGAAATTTGTATTTGATGTACATTATGGTTAACAAAAATCGATTGGTAGAATTATCGTTATAGGTCCACTTTTTGATATATTCCCTATATTTTCATTTCAAGTAACTGCCATTCCTATGGTGGAGGGTACCCAAAGTTCGGTCGATCCGAACTTAACGTTTTTCTCTCGTTTGTTTTCATGTAGATTTTCAAAACATTTTTTGGGTTGATGTTATTAACTTTTTCTCCCAGAACTATTAATATATATATATATATTTCTTTCGATATTTTTCATTATAAATTCGAAACAATTTACCATTTTTTTGAGTCACAACCCTTTATTTATTTTTTGTTTCCGAGGTGAAAATTTCGAAACCAGTTGACAATTTTGTGAGAACATATATTTCCAAATAATTTTAGCTGAATCAACATTCTCTCTTAAAAAAATTTCCATAATAAATTTGATAGAAAACCTTTGTAAAAATGGAAAGTGTTACTCGAATTTATCCCTTCTGACCGACTTAGAAGTATTCCAAAATATTACTGGAACCCAATGTGTTTCAATAATTTCATAATTGCATTAGAAGGTATAACATTGTTTTCCCCCATCCTCTACAGGCATGAAACATAGAACTGAAGGTCACTACAATATTCACAACATTGTGATTAATAGGAAATTTATAAGGAAAAGCTGAAAATAAATTGGATAGGATAAAAATAGAAAAGTAATAAAAATATAATAATAACAAAATAGCTAGAAAAGTTGTAGGGAAATTATTAATTCGAAAACTCATTAGGAAAAACAAGTATCCGAAATATAGATTATGGAGAAAGTTTTAAAACTGTTAATAGATTCAGATATTAATTCTAAAATATATATTGTTATCTGGAAGTAATTATTCATTCCTAAAAATCATGGGAATTGAATTAATATAAAATATTCGATATATTTTTCACTCCTGATTGACCATATATTTTCGATATATTTTTCACTCCTGATTGACCACAGAACTTTATGATCACACACCTTTGTCCCATGTGATTTTTTTATTCCCCTTTTCTTCAAATTAATTACGCAATTTTGTTATTATATTTGTTTTCTTAAAACCCTGGGAAAATTTTTATATAGTAAAAAAATCTCAAATACAAATGTTTGTATTGTAATACTTGAAGCATAATACCATTATTAGAATTTCTAAGGGACCTCCCTATTTTTAAACTTTTTTACCTAATATGCCTTTTTTCCAATTCTAATTTTGAAAATTTTATTTTGTAATTGCTAAACCTTGAAATGAATAAAATAATTCCATTGAATAAATATATATGTATACACATATTTTAAAATAATAGTAATCAAAACCTAAAGCCCTTTTATAGATTGACATAACAAAACAAAAGTATTATTAATATTTTTCGGAAAAAATATAACAATTTTACAATTAGAAATTAGTTTAATTAATAAATAAATATAGTTTAATATAAATACACACACATACATTGCAATTACTATTATTAATTTAAAATTTCCAACATTGGTTAAATAGAGTATTAATATATAGTCCAAAAAAATGATTTTTTGGCTGTTAATTAATATAATTTTAGGTTAAATTTAATTAACATTACAATACTTTTATAATTGTTTTGAAGAAAAGGAAAACACTTATGAAACGAGTGAATAGAGTTTTACACATACAAATTTGTTTTTGTGCTTAGAAAAAAAAACTAGAAGAAAAAAATATGGATCCGATTTTAATTAATAATAATGCACGTTGTCTTAGAAAATACTCTAATGGAATTTTTAAGAAAAAATAAATAAATTATAAAAAAATGATTAAAAAAACAATTTGTTTTATTTTGAAAAAAGATATGGTAAGATATTAATAAAAGTTTTTAAATAAAATTATAAAATATTCTTTAATGAACTCATCTGACGGATGGGTGTTTAAAAATGTAATCTTTAATAAATCCACGCCTGGATGGGTGTTTAAAAAAGTATTCTTTTATAAATCCACGCCTGTTATGGACCTTTGAAAAATATTCTTTAATAAATCCACGCCTCTTTTATAAATCCACGCCTCAGTTGGCCTTTGAAAAATATTCTTTAATAAATCCACGCCTCAGTTGGCCCTTGAAAAATATTCTTTTATAAATCCACGCCTGTTATGGACCTTTGAAAAAATATTCTTTAATAAATCCACGCCTATATCAACCTTTAAAAAATATTCTTTAATAAATCCACGCCTGTTATGGACCTTTGAAAAAATATTCTTTAATAAATCCACGCCTTTTATGGACCCTTAAAAATATTCTTTAATAAATCCACGCCTCAGTTGGCCCTTAAAAATATTCTTTAATAAATCCACGCCTCAGTTGGCCCTTAAAAATATTCTTTAATAAATCCACGCCTCAGTTGGCCCTTTAAAAATATTATTTAATAAATCCACGCCTCAGTTGGCCCTTTAAAAATATTCTTTAATAAATCCACGCCTCAGTTGGCCCTTGAAAAATATTCTTTAATAAATCCTCGCCTATTATGGACCTTTGAAAAAATATTCTTTAATAAAATCACGCCTATTATGGACCTTTGAAAAAATATTCTTTAATAAATCCACGCCTGTTATGGACCTTTGAAAAAATATTCTTTGATAAATCCACGCCTGGATGGGTGTTTAAAAAAGTATTCTTTTATAAATCCACGCCTGTTATGGACCATTGAAAAAATATTCTTTAATAAATCCACGCTTGTTATGGACCTTTGAAAAAATATTCCTTAATAAATCCACGCCTGTTATAGACCTTTGAAAAAATATTATTTAATAAATCCACGCCTGTTATGGACCTTTGAAAAAATATTCTTTAATAAATCCACGCTTGTTATGGACCTTTGAAAAAATATTCCTTAATAAATCCACGCCTGTTATGGACCTTTGACAAAATATACCTTAATAAATCCACGCCTGTTATGGACCTTTGAAAAAATATTCTTTAATAAATCCACGCCTGTTATGGACCTTTGAAAAAATATTCTTTAATAAATCCACGCCTGTTATGGACCTTTGAAAAAATATTCTTTAATAAATCCACGCCTGTTATGGACCTTTGAAAAAATATTCTTTAATAAATCCACGCCTGTTATGGACCTTTGAAAAAATATTCTTTAATAAATCCACGCCTGTTATGGACCTTTGAAAAAATATTCTTTAATAAATCCACGCCTGTTATGGACCTTTGAAAAAATATTCTTTAATAAATCCACGACTGTTATGGACCTTTGAAAAAATATTCTTTAATAAATCCACGCCTGTTATGGACCTTTGAAAAAATATTCTTTAATAAATCCACGCCTGTTATGGACCTTTGAAAAAATATTCTTTAATAAATCCACGCCTGTTATGGACCTTTAAAAAAATATTCTTTAATAAATCCACGCCTGTTATGGACCTTTGAAAAAATATTCTTTAATAAATCCACGCCTGTTATGATCCTTTGAAAAAATATTCTTTAATAAATCCACGCCTGTTATGGACCTTTGAAAAAACATTCTTTAATAAGTCCACGCCTAGATGGGTGTTTAAAAAATATTCTTTAATAAATCCACGCCTGTTATGGACCTTAAAAAAATATTCTTTAATAAATCCAGACCTTTAGAAAATACTTTTCCTTTACAAAATATTTATTTTTGGATTTTTTTCTATTTTCGCGTCCATAGACCTAAAACAGGTGCAACAAACTATTATTGCATGCTCTCGGGTTGAAGTAATGAATTGGAAAATTATTAACAAAATTAAATCGAATTAATTTTTATAGAGGTGGTGACCTATGGCATGTGTTGTGCTGATGCAACACACTCACACACGTATGTTACTACAAATCCAATCATAAACCATAATGTTTTACCAAAAACAAAACGCTTGTGGAGGATATCGAACCAAAGGGGTTGCTGGGAGACAGTGGCTTGGTTGAGGGAAAATATACGATATTAAATTTTGAAATGCCTGGACCTCCTCTTAATATTCAAATTTCGAAATATTTTTAAAACTGGAAATAAGGTAATGCTTTAAACGTTGTTCTTCGACCTGAGCCTATATCAGTTTCCAGAATATTTTAAAATATTCCCCATTTTTAAATTCCTTGAAACACTGTACATTGTCCTCATACAATGCTATCGAATAACCGCCATAAATACGACTGCAGATTAATATCACAATGCCAAAACACGAAAGGCACTTGTCACGTTAACACCTGCACCAAAGGGTGTGATTTTGTCACTTCATCCGCGGCCATCGTAACAATTTTCCAAAAAAAATGTTCAACGTTTTTCAATCGTTTTTAATAATTTTAATATTTAACCGGGTCTGGTCACTAAACCAAACGGAACCCCTGGAATATCCAGATGACACTCCCGTGACCTGTATGAGTGATCGAATAATTAAACGTTATCAATTCAATACCGATATCTATCAATCGTGTGAAAGTCGCGAAGCTTCCGCAGCCCACAACCGTAAACCGCGTCGTGTTGAACCGATTTTTCGTGGTAAACCCAAACCTCGCCGGGATGTGTTAGCCTCAAAATTCCATTTAAATTTAGATAATCGTCAAACGGTGTCCCTTGTGTCATTGGTCAATAAAATTGCCACCGAATACTTAAGTAAATGTCCACCGATAATCTATTACGACAATTATGTAGAACAATCGGAAAGTTTACTCTTGGAACTGCTATTCAAAACATTCCCCTTCACCTATTATCATGGTGAAATTAATAATCGTTATGTGGCTCATAATCGACGCTTGAAAAATTCCATCGATTCAAATTGCCAAAGTTATATTCTGTTTTTATCGGATCCGCTGATGACACGGAGTATTATTGGGCCACAGACCGAGAATCGGGTTTTGGTCATATCACGTTCTACACAATGGAAGCTGAAGGATTTTCTATCATCGGAGAAGTCGTCGAATATTGTAAATCTGCTGGTGGTGGGGGAGTCACTGACCGCGGATCCGAATAAGGTAAGCAAGCAATATTTTTTCAAAGGTCCATAACAGGCGTGGATTTATTAAAGAATATTTTTTCAAAGGTCCATAAAACTCGTGGATTTATTAAAGAATAATTTTTTAAAGGTCCATAAAACTCGTGGATTTATTAAAGAATCCTTTATTCAAAGGTCCATAACAGGCGTGGATTTATTAAAGAATATTTTTTCAAAGGTCCATAACAGGCGTGGATTTATTAAAGAATATTTTTTCAAAGGTCCATAACAGGCGTGGATTTATTAAAGAATATTTTTTTCAAAGACCAACACAAGGCGTAGATTTTTTAAAGAATATTTTTTTCAAGGATCATTCCGATAATAGGCGTGGATTTATTAAAGAATATTTTTTCAAAGGTTCATAATAGGCGTGGTTTTATTAAAGATTAATTTTTTTAAAAGGTCCATAACAGGCGTGGATTTATTAAAGAATATTTTTTTCAAAGGTCCATAATAGGCGTGGTTTTATTAAAGAATATTTTTTTCAAAGGTCCATAATAGGCGTGGATTTATTAAAGAATATTTTTTCAAAGGTCCATAACAGGCGTGGATTTATTAAAGAATCCTTTATTCAAAGGTCCATAACAGGCGTGGATTTATTAAAGAATATTTTTTCAAAGCTCCATAACAGGCGTGGATTTATTAAAGAATATTTTTTCAAAGCTCCATAACAGGCGTGGATTTATTAAAGAATATTTTTTCAAAGGTCCATAACAGGCGTGGATTTATTAAAGAATATTTTTTCAAAGGTCCATAATAGGCGTGGTTTTATTAAAGAATATTTTTTCAAAGGTCCATGACAGGCGTGGATTTATTAAAGAATCCTTTATTCAAAGGTCCATAACAGGCGTGGATTTATTAAAGAATATTTTTTCAAAGCTCCATAACAGGCGTGGATTTATTAAAGAATATTTTTTCAAAGGTCCATAACAGGCGTGGATTTATTAAAGAATATTTTTTCAAAGGTCCATGACAGGCGTGGATTTATTAAAGAATATTTTTTCAAAGGTCCATGACAGGCGTGGATTTATTAAAGAATATTTTTTCAAAGGCCCATAACAGGCGTGGATTTATTAAAGAATATTTTTTTAAAGGTCCATAACAGGCTTGGATTTATTAAAGAATATTTTTTCAAAGGTCCATAACAGGCGTGGATTTATTAAAGAATATTTTTTCAAAGGTCCATAACAGGCGTGGATTTATTAAAGAATATTTTTTCAAAGGTCCATAACAGGCGTGGATTTATTAATGAATATTTTTTCAAAGGTCCATAACTGAGGCGTGGATTTATTAAAGAATATTTTTCAAGGGCCAACTGAGGCGTGGATTTATTAAAGAATATTTTTCAAAGGACAAAAGAGGCGTGGATTTATTAAATAATATTTTTTCAAGGGCCAACTGAGGGTCCATAACAGGCGTGCATTTATTAAAGAATATTTTTTCAAAGGTCCATAACAGGCGTGGATTTATTAAAGAATATCTTTTCAAAGGTCCATAACAGGTGTGGATTTATTAAAGAATATCTTTTCAAAGGTCCATAACAGGCGTGGATTTATTAAAGAATATCTTTTCAAAGGTCCATAACAGGCGTGGATTTATTAAAGAATATCTTTTCAAAGGTCCAACAAAACCAACAATTTTTTATCGGTATCTCAACATTTATCCCTCTTCCCCGGTTTGTTTTTCTCTTTCTAGGAACGCCCTTATGTCCTGTACACCCACAAATTATATGCTGATGGTTTGGGTTCGAATAAGCCTGTGGTGTTAACCAGCTGGCTTAGGGGTGGTCTCACCCGCCCTCACATTAATCTCTATCCAAAGAAGTTTGAAAATGGCTTTGCTGGACATCGTTTTCAGGTCATGGCTGTCAATCAACCTCCATATATTTTTCGCATTAAAACATTGGATTTCACGGGTGTAACCCAGGTCCATTGGGATGGCATTGAATATCGTCTACTACAAATGATGGGACAAAAATTAAATTTCTCCATTGATATTTTGGACAACACATATGGGGGGAGAAATGAGAGGTAGAGGGGAAAAGGCCCTTTGATACCAATATAAATATTTTATTTATTTTTCCAGACCCCTAGAACTCCTCGAATACAGTGTGGCTGAACGTTTAGTGGACATCGGTATGGCCGGCATGTACGTGTCAACGGATAAGCTAGAAAATGTTGATTTCTCTGTGGGTCATTCGAAGGATTGTGCCGCCTTTATAACATTGGCCTCGAAGGCCCTACCAAAGTACTTGGGAGATTTAATCGTTTTATAACAAAAAAAGCCATTATAATTGAGTTTCCTTTTTACAGATATCGTGCCATAATGGGTCCGTTTCAATGGCCCGTTTGGGTGGCTCTTATTTGCATCTATTTGGGCGCCATATTCCCTATCGTTTTCACTGATCGTTTAACGTTGAGCCACTTACTTGGTAATTGGGGTGAAATTGAAAATATGTTTTGGTATGTTTTCGGAATGTTTACGAATTCGTTAACATTTTCGGGAAAATATTCATGGGCCAATACACAAAAAGTCTCGACGAGGATATTAATTGGATCCTATTGGATATTTACGATAATTATTACGGCATGCTATACGGGTTCGATTATTGCCTTTGTTACCCTGCCCGCTTTTCCTGATACTGTGGATTCGGTAGTGGATCTATTGGGGTTGTTCTTTAGAGTGGGAACGATTGGTAAGAAATCGATAAGAAATTTGTAATCGAATTATTATGAACAATTATTTTTCTTCTCTTAGATAATGGCGGTTGGGAGTCTTGGTTCCAAAATTCCTCACATGAACCCACGGCCCGTTTATTCCAAAAAATGGAATATGTCTCCTCTGTGGAAGAGGGTATTGGCAATGTTACTCAGAGCTTCTTTTGGAATTATGCCTTTCTTGGATCCCGAGCCCAATTAGAGTATTTGGTGCAGGCCAATTTTACAAATGAGTAAGTGGATAAATTAAAAAAAAAACTAACCTCCTTTTTGGGCCCTTTGAAAATATTTTCTTTAATAAGTACACGCCTTGTTGGGCCTTGTTGAAAATATTTTCTTTAATAAATCCACTCCTTGTTGGGCCCTTTGAAAATATTTTCTTTAATAAGTACACGCCTTGTTGGGCCCTTTGAAAATATTTTCTTTAATAAGGCCCTTTGAAAATATTTTCTTTAATAAGGCCCTTTGAAAATATTTTCTTTAATAAATCCACGCCTTGTTGGGCCCTTTGAAAATATTTTCTTTAATAAATCCACGCCTTGTTGGGCCCTTTGAAAATATTTTCTTTAATAAATCCACGCCTTGTTGGGCCCTTTGAAAATATTTTCTTTAATAAATCCACGCCTTGTTGGGCCCCTTGAAAAAATTTTCTTTAATAAATCCACGCCTTGTTGGGCCCTTTGAAAATATTTTCTTTAATAAATCCACGCCTTGTTGGGCCCTTTGAAAATATTTTCTTTAATAAATCCACGCCTTGTTGGGCCCTTTGAAAATATTTTCTTTAATAAATCCACGCCTTGTTGGGCCCTTTGAAAATATTTTCTTTAATAAATCCACGCCTTGTTGGGCCCTTTGAAAATATTTTCTTTAATAAATCCACGCCTTGTTGGGCCCTTTGAAAATATTTTCTTTAATAAATCCACGCCTTGTTGGGCCCTTTGAAAATATTTTCTTTAATAAATCCACGCCTTGTTGGGCCCTTTGAAAATATTTTCTTTAATAAATCCACGCCTTGTTGGGCCCTTTGAAAATATTTTCTTTAATAAATCCACGCCTTGTTGGGCCCTTTGAAAATATTTTCTTTAATAAATCCACGCCTTGTTGGGCCCTTTGAAAATATTTTCTTTAATAAATCCACGCCTTGTTGGGCCCTTTGAAAATATTTTCTTTAATAAATCCACGCCTTGTTGGGCCCTTTGAAAATATTTTCTTTAATAAATCCACGCCTTGTTGGGCCCTTTGAAAATATTTTCTTTAATAAATCCACGCCTTGTTGGGCCCTTTGAAAATATTTTTTTTAATAAATCCACGCCTGGTTGGGCCCTTTGAAAATATTTTCTTTAATAAATCCACGCCTTGTTGGGCCCTTTGAAAATATTTTCTTCAATAAATCCACGCATTGTTGGATCTTGAAATAATTTTTCTCTCTTTTCCAGAAATATGTCCCGTCGTTCAGCTCTCCACTTGAGCGAGGAATGTTTCGCCCTGTTCTACATCGGTTATATGTTCCCCAAAAATTCGGTATATAAACAAAAACTCAATTCCCTGATCCAGCTGGCCCAACAGGCGGGCCTTATGAATAAAATTGAAAGTGAGGTTAAGTGGGCAATGCAAAGATCCTCAGCTGGTAAGTTGTTACAGGCCAGTTCTTCATCGCCCCTAAGAGAAACAATACAAGAGGAACGTCAGCTCACCACAGCTGATACTGAGGGCATGTTTTTGCTAATGGGTATCGGATATGCCATTGGGGCCATTGCATTAATATCCGAAATTGTGGGTGGTATAACTAACAAATGCCGGCAGATTATAAAACGTTCACGACAGTCGATTTCATCGGGTTGGTCATCTAGGCGGGAAAGTATTGTGGCCTTGCCAGGTCAAGATATGAAAAAGAAAGGTCACCATCATAAATCACGGGAAAAGAAAGGCTTCGGTTGGAAGCAATTGAATTTGACAAAGACCACGTTAAAGGAACTCTACGGAGATAATCATGATGAGCTTCAAAAAGGCTATAAACTGAAAGGTGGTACAACCCTTAATAAAAATTCTTATCACAATATGGAATCGGAAAGTAAATCAGATGATGCCTTGTCCCTTAAATCGACAGTAAATGAATTTATCAACAATGAACGGTCGAATCACAGCAAAACCGATATTATTGAACAAGTTGTGGATAGATTTCTGAAAGAAGAATTGGAAAATACATTGAAAAACTTTGATCAAACTTTGGCCACCTATCAGGAAGATGAAGAGGATAACAGTAATGGAGAAAATGATGACTATATAAGATCCCCAGAAAATAATGAAGAAATATTTGGTAGTTTTGTCACATCATTTCTAGATGAAAATGCAAAAATTCTAGATAATTTACAATTGTTTAAGGAACATCAAGAAAATAATGAAATACCCCCGGAGAAAGAGAAAAACCACACATTAAAATGAAATAAATTTTTTCACAATTTATTAAAAAAAACAAAATTTGGAAAACAATTTACAAATTATAAATAAATAATTTTAATCCATGTTGTTGTATCGATGTTTCAATAATGCTTTGTTTGATTTTGACTTAGTTTATTTTTTTTTAATTTTTGGCTAACTTATAAAATTAACACAGTGCACAAGTATGTTTGCTTTACTTAATGATAGCTTAGTTTTAAAATAAGTGGATAATGGAAGTGGGATTGGTTTTATTTGGACAAGGTGATTTCAAATGTCTAATTGTGCTATTCTAAATGTACATGTAAATATTTGCTATGTATGTATCGTATATATGTATATGGTCTAAATAAATTATAATTCATCTTTAAGATGAGGAGCTTCGATTTGGGTATATGTATCATCGTCCTCCTCCTCATCATCATTGTGGCTATCGTCTTCATCATCTAAAAAAATAAAAATTAAAAAATAAAATAGAAATTAGAACAGGAAATAAAAATTAAAGCAGTAAAATAAAATAAATATATAAATAAAAATTATAAAACAAACAAAAAATAATAAAAATGAAAATTAAATAGTAGAAACAAAAAAAAATAATGTAATTAATTAAAAATAATAATTAAAAAAAAGAAGAAGAATTATAAAAATGACAAGATGCAAAATGGATATTTCCTATATTATCTATAGATATCCAAAATATAACCGCAGTCTTTCTGTAGAATAACTATTCAACGGTTTGCTATAAACGACAGGAGACTTTCCAGGGGTATTTTATGGAGAAAAAATTCCCAAATTTATTTCCTAGAAAAAAAACAGCTAGAGGCTTTCTATATATAGAAGATCTTCCAAAGATAGGCAAATGATCTAAAAGAGATAATCAAGGGTTCTTGTCAAAGTTGTTTTATAGACAGAAAATTTGTTTCCTATAGACCTAAGACCTTCCTCTGCAAACCGAGGAATTTTCCAATATCCAATATTCCACGAGTAGAAAAGCTTCCAAATCTTCAATAGCATATGATATTCAAAAGATCATCTAAATACTGAGACGCTCCAAAGCAATTATAGGGAATGAACACCTTCCAAGGGCATTATAAAGACAAAATGTGTTCTAAAAACAAAAGGACGCCCTCTACCTTAAAGATGACCATAGAAGTCATCTCTAAGGTAAAGGACGTCCCGGAGACAATATAATGACTAAAGTCTTTTTTGTGACTTCAGAAGACAGAAAACCTTCTCGAGATCTTATATAGATGAAAACACACAACACTCTCAGGTATTTTAGGGGCAGAAGACCTTGAGATATTTTACGGGCAGAAGACTTAGAGGTATTTTAAGATTAAAAAATACTCAAAAAATCCTCTAATTTTTCCGTATTCAATATAAATACTGTAACCCTATCTGATGAGTGCTAAAAACCATACACAGGCATAAAAACACAAACATTGTCTGCTAAATATGGAGACTCATGACCTTGGGATAAGACTCATGACCTTGAGATAAGACTCATGACCTTGAGATAAGGCCAGAAGACTTTTAGTAAGTCTAGAGACAGTAGACCAGAGGCCATCCATAAACATCAGACATAGAGGATATTCCATTGACAGATGAAGACAGACCATCTGCTAAAGGATAAGAGAAGTCCTAGAGGTCTTCTAAAACAGAAGACTTAGATGTCATCTATGGGCAGAAGACCAACAACAAATTATAGAAAAAGAAGAAGTCTTCGAATGACAAAAACGGATTTTCAACAGAAGCGGTTATATAAAAGCCATCTTTAGAGGGTACACATTGAAGTCTTTTAGAGACTCATTACCTGTAGATCTTTTAAGGACAGAAGAATTTGAGGAATTCTAGAGACAGTAGACCTAGTGACCTTCCGAAGACATAAAACCTATAGGATCTTACATAAACAGATAAAGATCTTCTGTAGGCAGACGATCCGCCAGATGATAAGATAAGACCTAGAGACCTTCGGTGGACAGAAGACTTAGAGATCATATATGGAGAGAATACCTATAACGAAGATAAAAAACAAATGACCTTGAAAATACCGAAAAGATGTTTACAATTCCCAAAATACCGAGTAGTGGGGCTTCCGTTATGGGCGGCTACAGCAACACAGAGATTGATATGGACAATTTTCGGTAGTAAAATTTGATATCCAATGCGAATACCAAATTGCAACCAAATTGGTTGAAAAGCGTGTCCAATATGCCCATGGGTAAATTTTAATAATTATACCTTTCACCACACTGTGGTACAGGGTATTATGTATTTGTGCATATGTTTGTAACAGGCAAAAGGAAACGAGATAGACACATGGTTACTTTTGAGAATATTCATATTCTGAGTCGATTTATTCATGTCCGTCCGTCCTTCCGTCTGTCTGTCCATGTTAAACCCTATTATAACCCTATTAAAACTGGGAAAATCGGTTCAGATTTAAATATAGCTCCCATATATAGTCTCGTCCGATTTTCAGTAAATGGGGACATCAAAGCTACAAAATATGGCCGATTGGTACAACATTTTGCACAACGTACTGAAGTCACTGTAACATAAAGTGTGTCACGTTTTATTGAAATCGGTTCAGATTTATATATGGGCAATATTGCCAATTTTTTATTATTCCATTTTCAAAAAATCAGCTTTTTTGTTTTTGTGGCACATCAATGATTTTTGGTACATATATAGAGAAAAATGTTCTGACTCCGAAACCGTTCGCGATCAAATTTTTGGTTGATGCGCGCAAAAGTTATCGAGGTTTTAATTTTGGGCATAAGAAAAAAATCTTAAAATTACGCCGTTTATTATATTGACCAAAAACGTTGATATATATCTTCCTCCGTAAAATAAGAATATGAATATATTATAATAATCGCGAAAAAGTTGCACATCTTCGCGAAATATGAGAAAAATAATGAAAATATAGGAGATTACGTAAATATTTTCATTATATTAATGACATACACACACCTAAAAATTAAATTAAAAATATCTACATAATCTAAACACCATGATGAATCAAATATCAAAATCACACAAGTCCGTGTAGCGGTTTGTAAATCACAGCGACAACAAAACAAGATATTGAGGAAAAATATTTGTTTTTGGTTCGAAAAAATAATGTCATCAGATTTATTTTTTTAATTTTTTACAAGAAATTTCAGAAAAAAATGTTGGAGTTATTCTGCTATTTTACCCGAATTTCGCCGAAAAATTGACATATATAAAACTAATCACTTTTTGTGTATAAGTATACGCCTTGCGGATTATATCAAGACCCTTCCGATAAATCTTGGGGTTCTATAAAGAGGAATATATCTTAAAATAAAATTATGAAATATACATTTTAAATTGCGTGTAAATCGCGTAATTCTCAAAATCATTTGGTGCGCATGCGGTTTCCAGGAAGTACTGAAGTTTATCTTCCAATCCATACATATTTTGCGAAATTTCATTTGACGGCTAAGATGTGCCACAAGTTGCATTGAAGTGCCCAAAAAATCGTAAAACGCGAATAATTTCCGAAAACTCCATATGCCATTAACGCGCATCCGATTTCGGTGTGCACCCTAAAAAAATACATCGATCTATACCAATTTCAATGTGGTCCATTAAGAACCACGGATGTGCCAGCAAAATCTATTTTTGAGATAAATTGCGTACATCTCTCTTTCGACTGAAGTTTTTAAAGTTCTCTTTTCGAAAAAGATCAAAATCCGTATGAGGTCATTTATTGAAGCGGAAATGATACACAGAAAACGCAAATAAAACCGCGATATTTTCAAAAACATTTTTTGCCAAATTTCGTGTTTTTGGAAGGCCAGTTCGCGCCGTTCTAGTAGATGGATTTTCACGAAGAAGATTTTATATCATCCGAAACGTAAAAAACCTTATTGATCGCGGGTACCCATATCATTCAGTTGACAGATCTAAAAATTTGGCCCGAAAAATAGGTTTTTTAGAAATTTGATCGCACAAAATTCGCACCTTCGGATGAGTATTACTCTGAAGCTGTGCATTCTACATACACAAAATACATATCAAATTACGCAGATTCGCGACTACAATAATCTTATAATCGATTTTTATAAATCCCTGTTTGGGTATTAAAGCTAGAAGTAGAATTAAAAAAACACTCAAAATCGAGCTTCAAAATGTCAGCATCATTTAAAGGTAGATGCAGGTAAAATTTTGAAAAATGATACATAAGGGGCGCAGTCCCCATTTTGTTGGCTTCGAGTTTTACTTTGACACGAAGACCGTGCAATGAGTGGCTTAGTCACAAATCGATAGAGAACATAAAAAAACTGGTTCGCCTCTACCTGTTTTTACACAGTTTTTTACATTAAAGTAGACACAGCTTCCACCAAAAAAAAGTTTGAAGGTCAATATCATGAACAGTTTGCAACGACAGATCAATTAACCCAAAACTATTCACTTTTTTTCATATACTTAAGTAGTTCCCGAGTTATAAAGGGGTGAACCTCCGCTTCAGCTATGTTAAAAAATTGGCAATATTGCCCATATATAGTTTCGTCCTATTTCAAGTTAATGTTGCACCAAAGGCCCAAATATGGCCGATTGGCACAACATTTTGCACAACGTACTGAAAGTACACTAACTTGTGGTAAGTTTCGTTGAAATCGGTTCAGAATTGGATATAGCTCCCATATATATTTTTGGCCGATTTGAAGTAAATAATGCACCAAGGACCCAAAATATGGCCGATATCCACCAAACGTACTGAAGTTAGTATAACCTTAAACGTTGAAATCGGTTCGAATTTGGATATAGATATATTTTCGTCCGATTTAAAGCAAATGGTGCACAAAACTCCTCATGTTTGTTAGATTGAAACAAAATTTTGCACAAAGTACAAAAATGAGCAGTGAATTAGCGTTTTGTAGAAATGCAGACATAGCCAACCGACTTCATGTTAATAGAGCTCCAAATAATCAAGACATGTCGAATTGAGATTTGCTAAACAAACGACTGTATATTGGTCCAAATGTGTCCACAATCCCCAAAAAACGGAATATTGGGTTAATATTATTATATGGGGACTTGAGTCAATATTAATATTAATAATTTTTAGTAGAAATTGGGGTCAATATTAACAATGTTTTAGTAGAGGGATGTTCTATACAATGAGAACCCAAAATTCCCAATTTCAACCAATTCGATTGAAAAATGTGACCAAAATACCGAATATTGGGGTGATACCGTTATAAGGGGGCTACCCTGAAACTTTGGTCAATATTAATAATTTTTAGTACAGGGATGTGCTACACAATGCGAACGCGAAATACCAAATTACACTTAATTCGGTTGATAAACGTATCCAAAAATGTAAAAAATATACCTTGATAGCGGACTACCGGAAAAAGTGGACCAATATTGATAATTTTTAGTGTTGAAATTTGGTACCCAATAAGAACACAAAGTGCCGAACGCTCTCAAAAACGGCAAAATTCCGAAATTTTGGGGGTACCTTTATATGGGGGCTACCCGACAAAAAAGTTTTCGGTCCAAATATCATATAATAGTTGGGGTCCATTTGATTCGTTAAGTAGTTGCCGAAATTTATCGAACCAATCATGCTTATTCTTTGGTCAGATTCCCTTCCTCGTGTAAAATTTCCTGACGTTCGGATCATAATCGTGGTCTTTAGAGCTACCAGGAAAATATACATTTCATCCCGCTAATATTAACCGACCATTGTCAAAAACAATAGGGGTCTTCTTATGCCAAAACCTTACATGCAACATATCGTGATGATTTGCCCATAACTGTGGCCTATATCGGGTTACCAAACTATAATGGACAGACGGATGGACAAACATTTCTAGATCGACTCAGCTAGTCGAGATCTGTCGATCGACAATATTTCGCGGCGTTACACATTTTTGGACTCACACAAAGCTATAATACCCTTATAACATAGTTGTGTAGGGTATAAAAACCTGGAGGATTTATATAACAAAAACTTACTACCTAGAGGCAGCAGAAGACCTTTAAGCGGTACTTCTTGGCGAGAAGTGATTTTCTATAAAAAAATTGCCTGCTGAAGGTACTCTCAGACAGAAGCATAGCATAGATGTATTTTATAAACATAAGATCTAAAAAACCATATATACTTCTAACCCCCGTACAGTGGAAGATCTTCAAGTGGAATTCTTAAGTTAGAAGCGGTTTTCTATAAATGGGTCTGCTCTACAGACAGAACAAAGTGTAGACGTATTTTATAGACAGAAAATCTAGAAGTTTTTTTATAGTTATAAGCCCCGTAGAGGTAGAGTCCTTCAAGTGGTACACATTAGCTGGAAGTGATTTTACATAAAAAGAACCTGCTTTACAGATAGACAAGTATGGGCGTATTTTATAGGCAGAAGATCTAGATGTAAAATAATTAATATTGAAATTAAAATTATATGAATGATCCAAGTTATAAAGTCTCAACATATAATCTAATAATAGTAGGCAATTGTTATATTCGTTAGTTCAATCATTAGAAAAATTAAAAAAAAAAAATACAAAATTAAAAAAATAAAACTAAATGTAAACTATTCTAAATGGTATAGAAGTCTTGATTAAAAAATATTACTCACACTACAAAATGGTGAAGTTACATCGCTGCCAATATATATTACGTTTTTGAATTATATAAGGAACTTATAATACTGAAAAAAAATCGAAAACCACAAAACGTGTCTAAAAATTGTTGCAAAGGAATACCCATGATGTGGTATTTTTTGTTTGTCATATAAAAAAGGCATTCCAAAATTGCTATTAGTTTTTGTTGTTTGTGCTCTCATTTATTCACAGAATAAATGCTGATGAACATTTGTTGTTGCTTTGTTTCATTTTACGTTGAGGTTTCTTAGCAAAATTTATAAAAAAAGAACTAATAAATTATAATTTTTCAATGCTTAATTGTAGTTTAAAAAACATTTGTCTTTATGCGCAAAACCAATTGGATACGATGGAATGGATGTTGTTACTTTGCCTTCTTCATTTCCATTATCATCATCATTGACTGCTTGCTTACAACGATTTCATTAGCATTTCTTCCAATTGTTTTGTATCGATTTGTGGCTTATTGGCACCGGCCGGAGCTGAACTAAGCCAATATTCCGATGCGGCTATATAAATGGCAACAGCTGCACCAACAATATAAGCGATATGCGTTGAACTTTGGAATATAACACAGGTGGCGACACACAGGCCGAAATATGTTAGAAAACGTGTTATGTTGACATATTGATCACGTTTCTCATTCGAATCATCTATGTGTGTAATGTTTATCCAGCAAAATGTTAGGGTTTGTTTGTTTTTTTTTTTTTTTTGTGAAAAGATATAAATACAAAAAATACATTGAACTCAGCTAGAAGAAACTTTTTTTGTAATTTTCTCAATTACTTACCAGTACACTTTCCATCCTTTAGTGTAAAACCGGAGGCACATTTTTTACACATATCCGGACCATCACCATCGCATCCCTCACATGAACGATCACATTCTAAACATGAATATGTTCCTTCATTGTTGACACAAAATTGATTGGGACGACAGGTTCTTGGATTGTCGAGACATTCATTGATATCCTGGCAACCATTTGTGGCATCCCATCGCCAGCCTTCATTGCATTTTGTACAAGCTGGAAATAATGAGAAAAAAATCGAATTATTAAAAAATCTCTAAAAGAGGGATTCAAGAGATTTTGAGATGTAAGGCATTTTGAATGGTATACTATATCAAATAATATTTTATAGTGTTACCACTAAAGGAAATTTCGCGCAAAATGGCATTAAAAAAATTTTGAAAATGATTTGCATGCAGAGGATTCAGATACAAATTCAAACAGAAATCTACCAGTATTCTTATTTGAACCGAAAAATACAAAATATTTGGATTAAGATTTCTATAAACAAAATTTTACCCATGGGGTTTTAATGACGGAATATCTTACCGAGGTCATATAACACCGAATACTTTAAACAATTTGTTCTATGAATAGAAGACTTGCTGGAGGACCCCTAAAAGGCATATTATCTCAGCTAGGGAAGAAGATAAGTCATAAAAGTCTTCTCAATACAGATAGATGGCCCTCTAAGACAAAAGCAAATTTATGAACAAACGATCTGCCAGAGGAGAAGAGAGGAACTAGAAGTCTTCTAGAAATCTTTTAAAGTCCTTGAGGATCTTCTTTTATGGGTATAGTATCCTCTAATTCTTCTAAAGACAAAAGTAGTTCCAGAAGTTCCGTTTACATAAAATCGGGCGAAACTATATATGAGAGCTATGTCTAAATCTGGACCGATTTTCACGAAACTTGACACACATCATTCTAGGTTCAATTCAGTACGTTATACCAAAGTTCTTGCAAATCGAAAGATATATAGGGACTTTGGTGCACCTTTTACATTAAATCGGACAAAAATATATAATGTGTGTGAAAATAAATTCAAATTTTTTTAGCGAAGACGCAAACCACGTTAGGTGTTGCGGCCAGTATAACAGTATTGATATACAGTATACATAGAATACATAAACGATGTTAAATTCGGTCGGGTCGAACTTTGTATACCCTCTACCATGAGGTCGGATTCAAAATATCTAAAAATAATGGGGGATTCCTAGGAAAAAAAAAAAAATCATGTTATAATAGGACCTTGAACATACCGAAAAAGACGCGAGAAAAAAATTTTTTAAATTCACAAAATAGCGAATAGTGGGGCTATACCAAAACGCGGATCGAAAATAGCGAAATTTTGGGGGTACCATAAGATAGGTTAGGGATGTACGGTTGTAACAACCGTTCACTCGGAGACTATTGTCCATGGATATTTTAGCCATGCCATATTTTTGACAAAGCCCAGGATCTGACTGGGATCTATTTTAGAGAAGACAGCTAAATTATCAATTTCATATCTTTCAAACTGTTTGTGGCTTCTGCCACTCAGCGATGGATAGTGGCAATTGTTTCTAGCTCTTCCACGTCCTCACATAGACGACAGTAATCCTCTCCGTTGTAGTCAAATTTCAAAGTGAAAGATCTAAGCCTGCAGTGACCTGTTATGATCTCACAATGATTTTGATTTCTCTTATTATGTGACAATAGCAAAGTGTTTGAGATTCTGCAACCAAGTTCTCTCGACATCTGTTACCGACTACCTCGCCGTAGAACAAGCGGATTTTGCCAATGATATAGGCAATGTTGTACAGATCTCTCAATCGAAAGATTGGATGATTGCGAGCAAGTTTATACCAGTTGTATATTTCTAATTCCCTACAGGAAACGCCTACACCAGTGCCTTTCTCCAGCTTTGACCCGTCTGTGAAAAATGACAGACCTGTCAGAGGTAAAGAGCCAGGATTCTCTACTAGGAAACTCTACCCCTGGGCACAGCTGGAAGCCTCGAATTTAATCAGAATGTCTAGTGTACTGAATTTAATTTTGTCAGCAGTATCTTTTGTTGAAGAATGGGTAGAACGACCGTCACATACAGCCAGTGTATGATCTCTGGTCATAGTCCCCACCTTTTACCTATGGAGTTCCTTCATGAGTAGAGTGTTATTAGTCCTTTCTTAGAGCGTTCCTCAACATTCCTCTTGTACCAAGGTATTTTGCTTCTTCAGAAAGGGTTAGGGTCATTCCTCCCAAAGATGGCAAGCGGAAACTAGGAATCTTACGTTTCATAGTGAAGAACACAAATTCTGTCTTAGTGGGGTTTACAACAATACCCTTGGCGTGTGCCCAGTTAAACAGAATTGAAAGGGCACCCTCCAAAATATCTGAAATTGTCATTATTGTCATTGTCAGCAACAACCAGCAAGACTACATCATCGGCACAACCTTTATTTTAAGATGAACGAATTTCAGCAGTATCTCATTTATCACCAGAAGTCACAGAAGGGGAGATATTACTCCTCCCCCTGTAGTGTACCTCAGTTGTCAGATTTCCTCATGGAACTCACTCCTAAGGATGAGTTGATAATTCTGCTTTCCAGCATTCTATCAATCGAGTCCTTCAGAAGTGAGGGGATACCTGAGCTTAAGAGACCAGAATGGATGGCCTCTAGCTTCACATTGTTGAAAGCTCCGTCAATATCGAGGAACTCTGCCAAAGTGTAGCCAGAGGACTCCATACTCTTCTCAATGCGTCGAACCACTCCATGAAAGGCTGTATCCACTGATTTGCCTATGATGTATGCAGACTGGGAGTTACTAAGTTTGGTTTCATCAATAACACTGTGCTACAAAATAACAAAAAAATTTTTTTCATGGGTTCTAATGTACCAATTCTGTTTAGTTGAAGTCCCTGGATCCCGAAAATACCTTTGGTTTTTCTGGGTCACTTCGAAAATTAATTTTATAACGGTAAATATAGAGAAAAACGTTGTTTCATGGATTTTCCATTTGAAACTTTAATAACTTATTTACTTTATAACGGATTTATATTATTCTTTTTTTTATTTCGAAGAATACAATTTTTCCTTTCAAACAAGATATATATTTGGTAAATCGCTTGAGGATTGGCTGAGTTACAGCGGTTGGAATATGAAAAATACGCATAAAATGACAAAATTTATTTTTCTTAGGACTGTACGATGAAATTATGATATCAAGCCATATAAGTTTTATTATATTACGGGGAAGAAAATTAAATTAGCTTTCGAAAATGATAAAAATCAAAAAAATCGGTTTAAAAATGGATGACTTATACACATTTTTGTATTGATTCTATGCATATTCTCTAAAGGAAATATGGGTCTGTATCGTTTCCTGTTAGAACCCGTTATTTTTGCTACAGGCAAAAGGAAACGAGATAGACCCATAGTTCCTTTAGAGAATATGCATAGAATCAATACAAAAATGTGTATAAGTCATCCATTTTTTAACCGATTTTTTTGATTTTTATCATTTTCGAAAGCTAATTTAATTTTCTTCCCCCTAATATAATAAAACTTATATGGCTTGATATCATAATTTCATCGTACAGTCCGAAGAAAAATAAATTTTGTCATTTTATGCGTATTTTTCACATTTCAACCGCTGTAACTCAGCCAATCCTCAACCTATTTACCAAATATATATCTTGTTTGAAAGGAAAAATTGTACTCTTCGAAAGAAAAGAAGAATAATATAAATCCGTTATAAAGTAAATAAGTTATTCAAGTTTCAAATGGAAAATCCATGAAACCACGTTTTTCTCTATATTTACCGTTATAAAATTAATTTTCGAAGTGACCCAGAAAAACCAAAGGTATTTTCGTGGTCCAGGGACTCCAACTAAACAAAATTGGTACATTAGAACCCCTGAAAAATTTTCGTGTCGCACAGTGTAATGTTCCTAATTTCTGAGTCTAGTAACCTTTCTAAAGTCTTGAGTAGAAAGAAAGAAAGACTAATCGGTCTATAGTCCTTTGGTAGCGTATGACTCGGCTTCCCAGCTTTTGCGATGAAGGTGACTGTTACCTCTTTCCATAGACTAGGTATGTACGATAGAAGTAGACAAGCCCTAAATATGTCTTTGTGTAGCTTATAGTGTTTTCTATCAGATTCTCCTCCTCCCTCTTTCGAACCATATGCTGATGAGCAACATCATTATGGTCCGATTTTTGAACTTTCCTTACCGATTTTCAAATGTGCTTTGGCCGTGTAATTTAAATGTTCTCCTATGGACACAAGCCATTCTTTTCAAAGTTCTATAGCCCTATTCTTAGTTATCCAGAATCAACTAAATGGACCAAAGTATCCAAGTTCATGCTCAATTACTCCAGTGTGTAGATATCACTTAATATAACCTCATTTTATAGAATAAAAATGAATAAAAAGGGTCATTCACATAGAAACTTTTTTAAAGATCTTTCACACAGTCCTTTAAAAGATTCACCATATCCTACATATCTCATATATATATATATATATATATATATATTATTTACAAACCACCTCCCCTTACATTTAATCTTTCTCCACACACTCACCTTTTGGTCCAGCACCCTTACAGCCACCATCATGGGTGCACGATTTATGGCAAGCCGAACATAACAACTTCTTTTCATCACGGAATGCTTCATAATAACCATTGGCACATTGATTACAATCATCACCCGCATAGCCAGCATCACAATTACATTTGCCGTTACCTTTGCGGGTACCGTCACCTTTACATTTACCATTTCCATGACAATCAGTACATTGTTTACATTCAGCGCCGAAATGACCCTCAGGACAACAAACTTTCAACTGTTCAATGCACAACCATTTATGGACATCTGGTTCCTCTGTCTGTTTATGGGTAAACCATTCTTCCAACAAATGTTCATGATCATTGGCCAAATTGTGACATTGAGTTTGACCTCGTCTTACTTCACGGCATAGGTTTTCTTGGATCTCCACCAAACGCACTTCACTTGTTTTGTACGAACGTAGTTTCTCTTCCTCCCAGGCAGCATCACCACCAGCATGTTTGCCACGACTGAAAGGAATAGAAACAAAATTGGGATTAATAATCCACATTCATGAATAACTTTTCCATGGAAACTTTTTAATGAAACCTCACCTAGTATTATCCATTCCCAATTTGAATGAGGCTGCCAACGTTGAACAGGCCTTACATGGTGGCAAATTGGTGGCCTTCTCTTTCTGCTCCTTGGGATTCAAAGGATCATCAGCTTGAATAATCACAACAGCTGTGCTCAATGCGTATAGCAAAATTGTGATAATTTCCGGAAGACTTTTCATGTTCGCGCAAATGTTCAAATGACGTTTGCTTGCGTGTTATGTTGTCCGTCGGTAGGTTCTACTTTAATTTATCTTTTCTTCGTTTTTAATTGATAATAATCTCTTTGGAAGTGAAGAGGGTTTACGTGTTTTTTTTGCGTGCAGTTGGTTTTTTTTTCTATTTTGTTCTCCAGAGTTCAAAGCCAATGAATGTGGTTGCTGACGACGTTGGTTTTTTGCAAATGTTGTAAACGGCGAGTGCTAAAGGGGTAGCATTTAGCCGGTATTTTAGGGGATGTAATGGCGAAATTGTTGTTGTTTATAAAAATTAGTTATTTAAATATTTTTTATAAATATTGAATAAACAATTTAAGACGAATATTTACTTGAATACACAGTAATCGTAAAATATATTAGTTTGTTTACGAATTTCAATGTGTAGCAAAACGGAGAAACAAATGTAGTGTTGCCACATTGAAATGTTTATTATCAGCAAATCTTAAGGCCTCTTTAAACTACATGGAGAACTTTATAAAAATACGAGGGTGTGTACTATGGTATAATTATTACCTGGTAGGGCATAGATGCCAACTGGCCATGGTTCAATCTAACCGCTAAATACGGTACCAAAATGTCTCCACTAAAAAAGTATGGGTCCACTTTTTCTGATAGTACCAATAAAACGGTACGGTATTTAGGGGTTTTTTAATGCGTTTTTCAACCGAATTTTCTGTAATTTGGTACCTTGCTTTCTTATTGGGTACCCAATTTCTCGACTAATAATTATAAAGATCGGTTCACTTTTTCTGGTTGCCCCCATATAACAAATTATTCATATTCGCCCCCTTTTGGGAATAGTCCCCATATAGCCCTCTTTTTATACCCTTCACCCCATTGTGGTGCAGGGTATTAAGTCTTTGTGCATATGTTTGTAACAGGCAAAAGGAAAAGAGATAGACATATGGTTCCTTTTGAGAATATGCATAGAATCGCTTTCTGAGTCGATTTATGCATGCCCATCCATCCGACTGTTAATGTTAAATTGTAAACAAAGTACAGGTCGCATTTATGATCCGAATTGGATGAAATTTGGCGCAACTCATTTGTTTGGTTCAAGGACGAACTCTATTGAAATTGGGAAAAATCGGTTCAGATTTAGATGTAGCTCCCATATATATTTTCGTCCGATTTAAGGTAAATGGTGCAACAAAGTTCCTATATTGCTTTCAATTTGCACGAAATATGACATAGCGTACTGAATTAGTTAAAGAATGATGTGTGTTAAGTTTAGTGAAAATCGGTTCAGATTTAGATATATCTCCCATATATATTTTCGTCCGATTTAATGTAAATGGTGCACCAAAGTTCCTATATATCCTTCGATTTGCACGAAATTTGACACCCCGTACTGAATTGAGTCCAGAATGGTGTGTGCTAAGTTTCGTGAAAATCGATTCATACTTGGATATAGCTCCCATATATTTTCGTCCGATTTTATGTAAATGGTGCATCAAAGTCCCTATATATCTTTCGATTTGCACGAAATTTCGCACAGCGTATCAATTTCCTTCGAAGGAACATTGACATGAAATTGTTAGGATACGTATGTAGAATATACCGGAAGTGGTGAAGGGTATCATATAGTCGGCCCCCAGCCTGACTTTACTACTTTCCTTACTGGGTTTATAATTGAATCTTTACTAATTTGTTATTTACTTACATCCTCTCTTTAAGGTAGCCAGGATGAACACCATGGACCAAGGTTCTCGGAGTAAAAATAACAAGGAAATGATTAGTGACTTTACATCTTCTAACCTAAAATATTTTTTTTTAAAATTCGCAACATATTAAAATAAAACACAACTATATATCATTATTTTTTATTTATTTTTCTTATCGTATATTATTTTTACGTTATTTTTCTATATAATTTCTTTTTTTACAACATTAAAAATATAATAAATTATATCGATTTTCTTTTCTATTTGGTTTATATTTGAATAAATTACATATCCTTTTATAAAGAAACATAAGTAGATCACAAAAAATAATAATAATAAATTAAAATGAAATAATTGTATATATAAATATATAAAAAATGTTATCTATACATTTTTATTTAAAAATATAGGACTTAAAAAATCCTTAACATTTTCAAAATGGCTGTTTGTTTGACTATGTGTAAGGATCTACCTTTATTTTGCAGACAAAAACAAAATTTAAATTTTATAAAAAATAAATAATAACAATTGGTGTGACATCTTTTAAAAAATACTGATGTATACAATATTATAAAAAATTATGCGAGTTATGTGTTGATGTAGTTAGTTGTTGAATGTATTTGTTTTCTTTTTCAAGGTACATTTGTTTTTTCTTTGCAATTAATTGGCAAATTGGTGTTGCGTTGGAAATTAAATTATCTATGTATGTGTAGATTTGTGATTTCATACAAATATTTAAATGATATATAATTTGAGCTATTTTTTAAAAAAGGAACTTAAGTAAATTAAAAAAATTAAAATTTATTTTTTTTTTATTTTAGAATGTTTTTTTTCTTTCGAAGTCGTTAAAATAGCATTGTTGAGAAATTTTAGAAAAAGTTATAAGCACTGAACGAAAACATTTCATTGGAATTGCCATAAATAACCCGTATATTAACATGAGGAATTCCAAGTAAATATATTAAGGAGGTTCGGTCGTTAATAAGGTAAGCTGAAATTTACACTACAAATTTTTTACATGTATCAATTCGTTCGTTCGTTCATTTTTTTTTTTTTTTTTTGTAATAAAATTAAATTGAACTAAATTTGTATCAAATAACAGTGTGACAATCGTTATAAAGATACTGATTTCAAACATCTTAGAGACCCGCCAAACGTCATGACTATTATATGGAAATGGCGAAAAAGATTTCAACATCAAGACAAACCCGTGATGGTGCCTTCAACGAGTATAGTAACCCTAAGAATTCAGTATAAGTACAAATCGAAGGACTTAAACATGTGACAAATCACGGCAAGGCAAATGTGTGTTCATATGTTATTCTATGGTGGATAATAGTTGCTAACACATCAAAGGTCCCGCCGGTATCACATCATTACGGAAAAAACTCAGTAGTCCTTTCATGTCATAAAGCTTTAGAAAAATATAATCGGTTTTGGCATATTTCATGGAACCCTCAAAGTTAAAAGATACTTGTGTTCGATCAGTGATATATTTGAGTGTGGTACCTTCACAAGGTAATAGACATATTAAAAGTCGATCAAACCTTAAAAAGGTTTATGCAATGCAAAAAAAATCTATCGTGGATAATTTCAATCCTACCTTTTCTTTAATTTACTCTTTCTTTTTTTAGATACGTATAGTGACCACAGATCTCCTTGTGGAGCATCTGCTGGATTATATTGCACATTTCACGCATCCTAACATAAGCAGAAGGATGCAGGGTACAAGAAGTGTGATTGTGGAAACGAATCAAAAAAGCCAAGCAATCAAATAAATTCGATTTTCAGCTTGCAGAACTTGTACACTGAGTCACAGACTGTCAAATGTTCTCTACCAAGATACCAATATTTACAATATTTCTGTATTCCTTCAAACCCGTTAAAAGGTGAAGGGTTTGATTTGGGTCTATGCAGCAACGTACACAGGATTTCATTTCGGGGGGGCCCGGTAGTACAAAATGAAAAATAAATTTACTGTAAAAAAAAATCATTTCGGGGTGGGCTGGGGGCAGGGCCCCCGGGGCTCCCCCCCCTGCGTACGTCCCTGGGTCTATGTATAACCCTTTGGAAGGTGGAGATTTGGAAGTACTAACCTCAGATTGCCCTGCTGTGAACTTAACAAAAAAACAAAATTTTTTTTTTCCTTAATAATTGAGTCACAGGTTATCAAACGTTCGTTCCCACTAGAAAGATATCCTAAAATTTGCAATTGTCAAAAACTACTCTTAAAGGAGACTATGGACACATAGATAGATGTGTTAGGGTATATAGAGAACGAAAGTGTCAGTTTAGAAAAACTCCAAAAACCCCACCCATGAGGGCGACATGAACTCCTGCCGGGAGAAACTGATATTCATATACGTACATGACCATTAACATGGAGTTGGGGTCAATTATTAGAGTCATATATAAATCTGGAGCAAAGCGGGAAAGATTCCAAGATTTCATATGAGTCGAAAACTCGTTGGATATTTAGGGAACACTTTCATTTAATCGGAGGAACATATATTGAAACTTGATTGTAAACTCAATTAGCAGCGCTGTGCAAAATTTTATCGCAATCGGGCAAACCTTGGGAGTTTGCTGCGCCCTTTACATAAAATTGGACGAAAATATGTATGAAAGCTATATGAATCTTCGATCTCAATGAAACTTAACGCACTCTATCCTAGTCTCAATTCCATACGTTATGCCAAATTTCGTCTCAATCGGACAAAAATGTACCATTTACACAAAATCGAATCGATTTCAACAAAATCTGGATTTCAATAAAACTTCACATACTTCACTTTTGTCTCGATCAGACAAATATTGGGGGTCTGTTGCAACATTTAGATAAAATCCGACGAAAATATATATATGAGAACTATAAACAAACCCGAACCGATTTTCTCCAATTTCAATAGGGTTCGGCTTAGAAAGTGATTATATGCAAAGGAACCATATGTCTATCTCGTTTCCTTTTGTCTGTTACAAAAATATACACAAATACGTAATTCCCTGTATCACAATGTGGT